GAAGAAGGCTCCACGGCCGAAACGTTGTGTTCTCTTTCTTCTTTTTTTCAGCATGGAATAAACCTATTACTTGTTCCTTTGCAGCCTACGCATGCTGACGAAGCTACGCACCTGAACTACTGCTACACTGTGCTGCCCAACTATTGATAATAGTTTATTCTATTTACATTTTGAACAAGTTTGCACAAAATATGCATAATCACTTGTGGTAAATGTTAGAAAATATCCTAAAAATATACATGCAGGTAACAATAACCAAAGGCCAAACTGAAGTATTGCATTTGGAGAAAAATAGGTCTACTTTCAGAGGTCAAAGGAAAGCATACAGTGCCCTCCAGATCAATTCATACTGCCAATAAAACAGGAGTAGTAAACACATAACAATAAGAGTTACAGATTGGGCAATATGCCTTATGTTCCAAAACTAAGGGGTAAAGGGGTGTTACATTTAGGATAGTTTTTGGATGCAGGTGGGTTCTGGCGAGGGACTTAGGAAGCATGATAAGTGTTGGTGCAAAAGTGATTATTTTAAGGTGAATAAGTGACTGGTACCTAATAGGACACAATAGCACACAGGAAAAGGGAACTACAGTAGAGTGGTGCCAAAGAAAAGAAAACAACAAACAAAATGGAGCTGGCTAAGAAAGTGAGGGAAAGCTAACTTAACTACAAAAGAAAACCCAAAACATTCGGTCTTCATCGTCTTAAAACACTCTAGCTAACCTTCACTGACTACCCAAAACCATACAAGACAAAACGGCACTCACCCGTCCTAAACTAGTGTTACTAATACAGAGATCAATTACGTGTGCAGAATGTACCCAACAACCTAAACTAACCCTATACACAAAAGTTCACTCAAATACACAAGTGAACTACGAATACCAATAAGGGAAAACCAGAGTAGACAACAACAGGGTACAAAAGAACACAGAGGTTGATACAATACGTCTGGGCAAGGTAATGGCTAAATAAGAATAAACACACAAACAAAAGTATGAGGAGACGAACATAAACCAACAAACCAACAAAGCCGAAGCTATATGAATACACACACGAAGCAAAACAAACAAAAACGAAGAAGTGAAGCAGAAGCAGAAGCAATGAGAGCTGAGCTGAGCTGAGCTGAGCTGAGCTGAGCTGAGCTGAGCTGAGCTGGACCGAAGTCAAACAAAAGGCCCCTTCATTCTGATAACCTCCAAGTTATATATTGAATAAGCTGCACTTTGACTGGCCAAAAAGCTGATTGATGATGACATCATATGGAAACAATGGTGTAATGATGGACCAATGGGGGAGGGAGAACAATCAAAGTTAGGAAGTGTGGAACATAGCAACAAAAACACACATGGGCCACTCAATGGGATGTAACACTCATAAATAGTTTATATACAGAAAATATGAAGGTAACATTTTCATACCCCTGTACTTTGTATTATGTAAATTCTCCTTCAGTGTGCATCACACGCCTTCTCTAGTGTTTTGAGTTTCTGGCACTGTTTTTTTTTTACTACACCTACAGGCAGTATTGCTTTAGGTTTTCCAGCCCCTTTGGTTCCTGTTTATGAACTGCCTTCTTGAGTTGAACCCCAAATTATTGGTTGAGTTGAGGTATGGAGATTTAGATGGTCAAGAACATTTTGTGTACATTTTTTTGTTGATTTGGATGTATGCTTTGGATCACCATGCTGGAATTTCAAATTTCATCCGAGTTTGAGTTGCTTGGCAGAGAGAATCAGGTGTTTGACCAAAATGTCCTGGTACTGTACATGTTGGAGTTCATGATTTCCCCTTTTTGAACAAAGAGCTTGAAGAAACATACTGTAGATGCAAAACTACCCAAATAAACATGATAGACGTCCCACTATAATTCACAGTAGGAGTTAATATTTTTTTAGCAAGAGTTTGGCCTTTTTATGTGAAACATAATACTGACGAGCAAGTCCAAAACTCAGTTTTTAATTTTATGAATGATGACATTAGATTCGACTTGGTTCCACTTGCCATTCAGATGTATATGTAGATATGATATCTTGCCCTTTTATGGTTTGTTGTCAAAATAGGCTTCTTCCTTCCAAACTGCCTGTGAATGCCATATTCATGCAGGTGACGTTGAATGGTAGTTTTCAATATTTCTGAAGATGCCTTTGAAGATATTAATGTTGGAGATATCCAGTGGCTGCCTTTAGATTACTGTTGCCTTCTGATCAAGCTGTCTCACAGCCTTTTCCTAGAAAGCTTGCCAATATTGTAGACTGAGTGCACTGGTTTCCTCCCACAGTCCAAAGACATACTAGTAGTTAGCTTCTGGGAAAACTGGCCCTGGCATTAGTGTGTGAGATGGACTGGTGTACCATCTAGGGTGTGCCCATTGCTTACTGGGATAGGCTCTGGCTCCACCGTGATCCTGAAGTGGAAGAGGTAGTAAGAAAAATGGATGCATGGATGGATTACCCAAACCGTAATATTTTGTAATAGTATTATTTTTGATTATTTTTATCTGAGCTGAGATTTAATCTAGACTGCACTGTATATGGAACACTTTGGGATCCTTATTACGTATTCACTTATGACTTGGAAAACAAAAAGTTCATTAGTTACTTTAGTTACTTCATATTTATGTTTCCAGTTAGCCAGATAACTGATTTTCAAGGTGTGTAGCCATTAAGTGATGATAAATAGGGTACAGGAAATGTTGATACTCGTAGGTTCTATAGTCCTGATTTCACCTATTGTCACTAAATTTTTAGTGGCACCCTTTTCCACATTTGCCAAACAAACTTGCCTATTCACAGACTGGGATGTAGGAGAGAAAATGTGGGCACCCATTTCCACAGCATTTTCATCTTGTGGATCTACTTCCCTCAACCTGCACTAGTCTCTGTATTAATGGTATTGTTTGGTTAACAAATAATTAATGTATGTGTGTAGAGGTACATTATGGGTTATTCTTTAGTTTCTTTCAGGAAAGTGCTAAATGTGCATTGTGTGTAGACCTGTTATCAGAGTAATTCCTGTTTGTGACTGTGACTGTATATGCTGTATTCCAAAATAAAAAAAAACATTTTAATAACAAAAAAAAGTTCAGTAGTACCATGTTATTGGTCTAATTTTTCATGTGTCTTGTGGAAAACGGATAAGAAAATTAATTGTAAGAAAGAAACAGAAAAACTGCAAGAGTTAGTTGAGTGGGAAGGGGGTGAATACAATTTGTTATTACAGTAGTGATGCATTTTACAATAGTAATAAGATATAAAATGTAAGAAAAATGCACTCAACTAAGAATGAAAAAATGAATGCCAGTACAATACAGAGTAAATAAGGCCATTTGTGAGTATTGCATACCCCTTTGTAGGTCTTACAAAACCCAATTATTTCTAACTTTTTATACCACATTTATCAATTTACAGTTACTTGCCTTGAAGGAGTATTGTTTATGAATTGAACTTCAATGTTTACAAATTCTGCTCCCTCATTGGCAGCTTCATCCATCAGAAAAAGACATTGCACACCTCATGGAAGACACAACCAAAAAAAAAAAAGGCATCACATCTGGATTGTGTGACCTGTATTCTGGTTATTTCTCAGAATTAACAACTTCACTGAAGGTGCTTTTCCCAAAATGGAAACCACTAGCAAAATATTGCTTTACAAAAGCCTTAAAATAACTACATCAACAATGAACAAACACTAGTCTTGTTTTAGAATAATGTTATCAGATAACTTTATTAACAAGTTAAAAAAAGACAAATGAATTACAATATTTACATAGTATCCAGAAATAAATGGAAAAAAGTGTAAACAACCATTCTAGGTAATGTCACAATCCACCTTCAGGAATCTGATTTTCACAGGAAAGGCAGGATGAAGGAGCTACATTAAACTATGGTAAACTCCAATAAATGTAAGAAAAAAATTAAAAAAACAAATATATACAAGTTTCCAGTGTGTTGTTAAGGGTACTATCCGCAAAAAAGCTGCCATTTAAAAGCTTATTTTTTTATTAGTCTTTCACTAAAAAAGGCAGATGCCATCTTTAAGCAAGGAACTGTATGTTTACAGTAAAGTAGGCTGGGAAACAAAAGTATTTTCACACCTTAATACCGAAAATAATAAACTTTTTACTAAGTAGTACAGGAACTGTGAAGAGATAAGAGAAATGCAAATCTCCAGTAATGTATTTTTATATTTTTTATAACAACGGCTGGTAATAACAAAAAAGGGCAGCGTATCCATTCCGAAACACCACAGTTTAGTACACATGACAAGTACAGTAGCTTGTTTTCTAAACACGACTTGATATAGCATGCGGAATTCCCAAAACATTGTCTCACGGCACCTGGGCATACATGATAGCAGCACTGATTTGTTGCTCAAGAAAGAGAGCAAAGGAAGTCAACTACAGGCCATTTTATCCTGGACCTGAGAGTTCTGGTAATGAGAACAGAATTTACTGTCTAAATGTTTTCTTTATGGCTCCAACTCTTATTTGTCCTGGTCGGTAAGGGAAAAAAATATTTTAATCATACGCCAACATATATATCAGCAACATCTATTATTTTCTAATAAGGCTTTAGGGCATTGAGCAGCAGGGTCTAGTGAATACAGATCCGGCTCACTTCTATTAGATCAGTCTCATTAAAGTTTAACAAACATCAACAAGACAAGAATTTCCTTTAGCAAAGATTTCTGTTAAAAATATTAAAATGCATCACACAAGTTATTACATTTTCTACAACACACCAGTTATGTTTTTTTTTAATTTCTTACTAGAGAAACCACTCTTTTCACACTGTCTCGCACAACAGCAGATCCATGGGAGGAAAGTTAGGATTCTTGCTTTAGTTTGGACTTTATCATAGCAGTCTATTAAATGCTTCGGCTGCTCACGAGGATAAGGAGATATAAAGTGCACTTTAGATTTCACCAAAGTGCGTCACTGCACGATTCAGTAATACAGGAAAAACACTGAACTGATGCAAATAGAGTTCTTTAGTTTATGAGGTACTATGAGTATAATGAATATCATATTCTAAAGTGAGCAGCTATTTTAACACTTATTTTAAATAATGATGAAACAAAGTTTATATAGCATGAATTCCAATCAGAACCAGCTATTTTTGGAATTCTGCTCAGGGTAAAATTCAAGGCCTGTGTTTCAAAGAAATCAATTTCTAACAGAGAAAACAATTTTATTGAAAGAGAACTGCAAGAAAGGAAAGATAAGAGACAACAGCTCAGTATTAGTTACTATTTTAACATGCTAACCAGGGCATAACTGATGGTTCAGCAATATGAGTTATCTTTAATAAATTACAAAGAGCAGGGAATTCCTAGCTACATCTGTAAAGACAGACAAACCTGGATTAGTATAGCGATCTGTTACAAAATATGGGGACAAGATTTAAAATTATAAAACTATATATATTCATACAAAAGAAAACAACCACTCCTATAGCTAATTTGCTACAGGAAATTAACACTGAAGGCTAAATGTAAACCCTGTAATTGCGCATCATTCAGGTCAAATCAACACAGGAACCATTCCTACAGCAAAATAAAAAAACATGCACAGTGTTGAATCACTGTCATTGTCAACAAGCAGAAGCAATACAATCCTTTAACACAAAATAGAGAAACACAGATTTAGCAAAAATTAGCTGTGTATGAACACTTGGAAGTATAAATACTAGGGGAAATAAGGCTTCACTGTACCCCATACTTATTCATGATTCATGAATATTCCAAGGGTATTAAAGTGAAAATGAACTTTTACTTTGTTACTACAAAAGATTTGACCTTAATGATAAAATTACAGTACCATTCACTATTGGTTACCAATATATTAGCATCTGTCCTATGGACCATGTCACTCATTTTAAGGTTGTGTGATTAAAAAAATGCTAAAAGTACAAGTAAGATGTAACACAGTTAAGAACGTCCAATGAATAACACCCAAAATGGTTACCCAATATTGTTCCAAAGATTTTAAAAAAAGTTTGAAAAGCAGCCTTTTTTCTAGTTTCCCCAATGTTTTTCAAGTAAATATCAACGCTACAACACAATGTTTCCTCTTAAGTATTATTTTTGGTCTCTGGCTTCTCTCTTTCCTGCTCCTTTTCTGTATAAACTTTTGCCAGCTCAGGTCGGTAACATCTTTCCATCTCTACAGGATCACTGGAGTGGTTGTCTTCTTTATCTTCCAGTTTGGCCAGTGTTGGTCCTGTGTCTTTACATGTTGCTTCTATTGCTTGGATAATGCTAGGGTCTCTCCCGCTACTGCCCATAGTCCTGAAAAGAAAGAACACAAAAATTAAAAATCTATAAGAAATTACCTACAAATACCAATAACATAACCAAACTAGGAATTTTGAAAACTTGTGTTACATATGCAATGGATACATCTTAAAAAATAACCAAACATAACTGTTTCTGCTTTGATTATTTAACAACAAAACTGGAAATACCTCTTCAAGAGTGGGCTTTTACTAACTTTCCACTCTGAAAGAAGAGCTGAAGCACTGTTACAGAGGACTTACATGCCATGTCTTAGCACGTGGCGCTCCCACTCTACACTGTGTGTGAATGTGCGGCCACAGAATTCACAAGGAAAGCGCTTCTCGCTGCACACCGAAAAACTACTTCCTGGGGAACCCGGTGCCTCTGAAAAATAAACCCAGAATTAAACAAAAAAACAAAAAAAGACTAGGAACTTTGCTACATAATATTTCATGCCTTTCATTACCTATCTCATGCCTTTAACCCACTTATCTTTTAACATACCACAAGCAACACAGCCCTGTACTGGTGGGTCAGTGCTGACTGAAGTAAAGGGAAGGGATGAATCCCTTTTATAATTTTTTTTTAGAATTAACTGAAGACCATATGAGTCCATAGAAGTACTGTACATAATTATTACATTATTACAAATATTATGCTTAATTCTATAAAATATATTAATATATAAAATTTGGTAATTCTTCCTTTATAGGAAGACATGGAATAAATAACATTTTATAGATTACACCTGCAACCAAGTTTTGCAAATTGTGCACAAGTCTTGTCTTCATTATGTTTACTCTCGTATTTACCCATTTTCAATCACTGTGTTCCAAGTTGTGCTCAATTGAATTTAGATCTAGGCTTCAATTGAAGAAAAAAAGGCACTTTTATGGTTATCATGTATGTAGTGCTTTGGAGGTTGGACAGGAGACACAATCTGTGCAATTTGTGTTTTGGATTCAATCTTGACATGATCTAAGGTAGAGTGTTAAAGAGCTTTCCTGTGAACAAAAGAACTGGTAATATGCTTTTAAATGGAATTTGTTAAGTATTGGTTTATACTGGTGACCGGTTATTTAACATAACATAACTTAACTTTATTAGCCCTATACAATTTCTGGCATGAGGAATTCTTTTTTTCGCATACCCCAACTTGCTCTCCATGAGACACATAGACACACAGACAGGGAGAGAAGCCTGGGGTCAGAGCGCAAGGTCAGCTATTGTACAGCGTCCCTGGAGCAGCTGGGGTTAAGGGCCTTGCTCAGGGGCCCAACGAAGTATGATTCCTCTGCCGGCAACCTTCCAGCCACAGGCGCAGATCCTTAGCCACAAAACCTCTTGTGTATGGTGTAACCCTCTGACAGACAAAACTATTCAGGTGATGCAGGCAAGCAAGTTATATCCTAACAGCACTTATAACTGCACCTTCAAAGCAACATGACAGGTTTTTATACTAAGAGTTGCAGTGAAGATATACAGTGCCTTGCGAAAGTATTCGGCCCCCTTGAACTTTTCAACCTTTTGCCACATTTCAGGCTTCAAACATAAAGATATAAATTTT